CCGTTCCGCGACCCACCCGCGACCCACCCCGCGACCCACCCCGCGACCCGCCCGCGACCCACCCGCGACCCACCCGCGACCCACCCCGCGACCCACCCCGCGACCCACCCCGCGACCCACCCCGCGACCCAACCCGCGACCCACCCCGCGACCCCCCCGCGGCCCACCCCGCGACCCACCCGCGACCCACCCGCGACCCACCCGCGACCCACCCGCGACCCACCCGCGACCTACCCCGCGACCCACCCGCGACCCACCTTCGACCCAAACCACGTTCAAGGTACAAACCACAATTTTCGGCGCCTGCGGCGGGCTTTTTTGCATTCCTTCCAAGCGGAGAGCCCGCGACACATCCCGTGACCAACTCGCGACCAACCCGCGACCCAAACCACGTTCAGGGTACAAACCACATTTTTCGGCGCCTGCGGCGGGCATATTTTGCATTCGTTTCAGGTGGAGAGCCCGCGGCCCACCCGCGACCACGTTCAGGGTACAAACCACATTTTCGGCGCCTGCGGCGGGCATCCTTTGCATTCGTTCCCTGTGGAGAACCCGCGGCCCACTCGCGACCCAAACCTCGTTCCGTGTACGAACCAATTTTTTTGGCGCTTGCGGCGGGCTGCTTTTGCATTCCTTCCAGGTGGAGGTGGAGAGCCCGCGACCCACCCGCGACCTAAACCACGTTCACTGAACAAACCAATGCCGCACAAGCGCGGCGGCGGATTCTTGCATGCCGTCTGAGCCCGCAAGGACCTCTTCACGCCCCGCACATCCACGCCAGCCCGTCCAGCAACTTTGCCCTGGCGAGTTGCCTTGATCAGAGAAGGCGGGGAGCATAAAGTGGAAAAAAGGATTGCGTTGCAGTTATCTTTGGAAAGGAGGGGGAGGCAGGATGAGTAAACAGGGGACGAGGAGAACGTGGAAGAAGAGAGGATGTAAGGAGAACGTGGAGAAAGAAAAGGAGGAGGAGCAGGAGGACGAGGGGGAGGAGGGGGAGGAGGGGGAGGAGGAGGACGAGGAGGGGGAGGATGGGGAGGATGATGATGATGGACGACAATGGGAGGACGATGATGGAGGCCGATGAGGGGGAGGACGACAATGGGAGGACCATGATGAAAAGACGAGGGGGGGAGAGGGAGGACGAGGAAGAGGAGGAGGAGGAGGAGGACGAGGTGGAGGAGGAGGATGACGATGACGATGAGGACGAGGAAGAGGAGGAGGAGGAGGAGGAGGAGGAGAGGAGGAGGAGGAGGAGGTGGAGGAGAGCGCCATCGACAAGGAAGGTGGGGGCCACGAGGTCCGCCGGCTCGACGACGCCCGCGTCGCCCGCGCCCGCCCCCTCACTCTTATCCGCAATTGCGGGGTGCTACGGGTATGTATATATGAATATGCGTAGCACCCCGCAGATGCGGATAAGAGTGAGGGGGCGGGGGGTCGTCGGCAGTTTGCGAGTCTCTGGAGAAGCCCGCCGCAGGCGCCAAAGCTTCACAAATTATGCAACGAGCCTGCCGCAGGCGGAGATTGTTTCGTTAAACCAGTGTGGGTAGGTCGCGGGTGAGTCGCTGGTGGGTCGCAAATGGGTCGCGGGTGGGTCGCGGGGTAGGTCGTAGGTGGGTCGCGGGTGGGTCGCGGATGGGTCGCGTGGTGGGTCGCGGGTGGGTCGCGGGTTGGGTTGCGGGTGGGTCGCGGGTGGGTCGCGGGTGGGTCGCGAGGTGGGTCGCGGATGGGTCCTAAGTGGGTCTCGGGTGGGTCGCGGGTGGGTCGCGGGTGGGTCGCGGGTGGGTCGCTGTTGGGTTGCGGGTGGGTTGCGGGTGATCTGGAAACTGCAGTGGCGCTGCCCCAAAAAAAACTTTGGGGACACACCCTCACAAACAAGCACACAAGCACACACAATTACCCGCCCGCACACACACATAAACACACACGCACACACACATACACACCCCACACCCACACCAACCCCCCACACACTCACCCAGATCCCCCCGCCCCTCCCTCCCCCCCACCCACACACACACTCACACCATACAAACACACACACACACACACGATGTGGCGTCGCGGCCACGCGCACTCAAACACACAGACAGACAGACAGACAGACAGACAGACAGTCAGACAGACACACACGACAGACAGACAGACAGACAGGTAGACAGACAAACATACAGACAGATAAACAAACTCACGCACAGGCACACACACACAGATACAAGCACACACACACACACTCACACACACACACACACACACACGCACGCGCACATAGATAAACACACACAAGTACACGCACGCACGCACACGCACGCATACGCGCACACACACACACACACACACACACTCTCTTTCTCTCTCGCACACACACGCACGCACACTGTTCCGCCAGCGGCGAGGTGGTAGCACTGCTGCGAGTACCGTAGCACCCCGCAATTGCGGATAAGAGTGAGGGGGCGGGCGCGGGCGACGCGGGCGTCGTCGAGCCGGCGGACCTCGTGGCCCCCACCTTCCTTGTCGATGGCGCTCTCCTCCACCTCCTCCTCCTCCTCTCCTCCTCTTCCTCCTCCTTCTCCTCCTCCTCTTCCTCGTCCTCATCGTCATCGTCATCCTCCTCCTCCACCTCGTCCTCCTCCTCCTCCTCTTCTTCCTCGTCCTCCCTCTCCCCCCCTCGTCTTTTCATCATGGTCCTCCCATTGTCGTCCTCCCCCTCATCGGCCTCCATCATCGTCCTCCCATTGTCGTCCATCATCATCATCCTCCCCATCCTCCCCCTCCTCGTCCTCTCCTCCCCCTCCTCCCCCTCGTCCTCCTGCTCCTCCTCCTTTTCTTTCTCCACGTTCTCCTTACATCCTCTCTTCTTCCACGTTCTCCTCGTCCCCTGTTTACTCATCCTGCCTCCCCCTCCTTTCCCAAGATAACTGCAACGCAATCCTTTTTTCCACTTTATGCTCCCCGCCTTCTCTGATCAAGGCAACTCGCCAGGGCAAAGTTGCTGGACGGGCTGGCGTGGATGTGCGGGGCGTGAAGAGGTCCTTGCGGGCTCAGACGGCATGCAAGAATCCGCCGCCGCGCTTGTGCGGCATTGGTTTGTTCAGTGAACGTGGTTTAGGTCGCGGGTGGGTCGCGGGCTCTCCACCTCCACCTGGAAGGAATGCAAAAGCAGCCCGCCGCAAGCGCCAAAAAAATTGGTTCGTACACGGAACGAGGTTTGGGTCGCGGGTGGGCCGCGGGTTCTCCACAGGGAACGAATGCAAAGGATGCCCGCCGCAGGCGCCGAAAATGTGGTTTGTACCCTGAACGTGGTCGCGGGTGGGCCGCGGGCTCTCCACCTGAAACGAATGCAAAATATGCCCGCCGCAGGCGCCGAAAAATGTGGTTTGTACCCTGAACGTGGTTTGGGTCGCGGGTTGGTCGCGAGTTGGTCACGGGATGTGTCGCGGGCTCTCCACTTGGAAGGAATGCAAAAAAGCCCGCCGCAGGCGCCGAAAATTGTGGTTTGTACCTTGAACGTGGTTTGGGTCGAAGGTGGGTCGCGGGTGGGTCGCGGGGTAGGTCGCGGGTGGGTCGCGGGTGGGTCGCGGGTGGGTCGCGGGTGGGTCGCGGGGTGGGCCGCGGGGGGGTCGCGGGGTGGGTCGCGGGTTGGGTCGCGGGGTGGGTCGCGGGGTGGGTCGCGGGGTGGGTCGCGGGGTGGGTCGCGGGTGGGTCGCGGGTGGGTCGCGGGCGGGTCGCGGGGTGGGTCGCGGGGTGGGTCGCGGGTGGGTCGCGGAGCGGGTTGCGGGTGGGACGACGACAACAAACAACAACAACAACAAACAACAACAACAAGAATCCGCACGTGGAATTCCACATCAGCCACGCACCCAGGGACAGTGAATGACCGTTCGGCCCCCTCACTCTGACTAAGTCGGGGGCACGCTCAGCTCAATTACCGCCTGGCGTTGCAGATGGGGGTCTGGATGGGGGAGGACGCACACACACACACACACACACACACACGCGCGCTCTCACCTCCAGCGGCTGGGTGACAGCAGCGCAGCGTGTCCTGAGGCGGGACAAGCCTGGCTCAAGTACAACCTAGCGCTGCAGATGAAGGGTCAAGATGGTAGCTGACGCAAACAGACAACGCGAGACCGCGAATGCAGACGAACACACACACACATGCCCAACTCATACACACACTCGTTTCGCGTCGCGGCCTCGCGCACGGAGGCGTGGCGTAGGGCAACTCAGGTGATACACGCACACAAACTGCGACGGCTGCTGATTACGAGCGCTGACTGCCAATTCTACACTGGTACTATACCTCCGCACTCTCGACGACACTTTACCCTGAAGATGGAGGCCGAGAAGGAACAGGAGGAGGAAGAGGATCACCACCAGCAGGAGGCCCTGCGGCATGGCGTGGCTGTTTGCTGGCGGATACTGCCTGGAACGATCATTGCAGGATCCCGCTGTGTGCGAACGGCCGCGCTACAGCAGATCTTTGTAGAATTGAGCGCAGCCAACCCTGAGATAACAACAGCATAAGCAAAAACTTTCAGAGGTCAGTCACGATCTCTTGGGTCCGCGCTGGCTCCCCTCCCCTTGTGCGCGGAGTGCGCCAAGGGCGGCGCCAGAGGCGTCACCAGGGGGGGCCCGGCGCCAACAGAAGAAAGCCGTGCGGCCGTGCGGAGCTCTGAACATTTCTGCTTACGCAGTTCTTTCTTATAGGAAGCAGTGGTAGTGAAAGCGGGCCTCCACACCTACAGTCGCGGCGTTGACCTAAGGAACCCTAAATAAGGAACGAGGCCCCTTTTTCCCATAAGTTGACCTTCGATTTCCCATGGAAGACCTCATGAAAACCTAAGGCAAGCTGTAGAACAATCAAGGAACACCGAGCCCCTCCCTAACGAAAAGGGATCCCTCTTCAGCGCCCCGACTGTAGTGAAAGCGGGCCTCCACACCTACCGCAGCCAAGGTCGCCCTCCACGCAGCCTGGGGTGCCTCCGACTCCCGAGAGCCACTCACGCCGAGGCGAACTCACTGCTCAGGCCGTAGAGGGCGTCCTGAGGCGGCATGGTCAGGCCGACCTTATCCTGGTGCTTCAGCTCCTTGTGGTACGGCCGACAGGGGAAGGAAACACATGGGACCATGCCCACCAGCAGAGATTCCCCAACAACCGACAGCGGCCTCTATCAGGCAGGCGACCTATTGTCCCAAATGGACACCATACGCAGCAAATGCGACAGTGAGTCCTGTTCACGCTTGAAAAAAACTGCTGTTGGTATTCGCTCTCGTTGTTTCTGCCCCCATGTCGGCCGTACCGCTCCTTGAGCAGCATGTAGCCCTCCTTCTTCAGGTTGGCGTCGATGCCCGCCAGGTCCTGCGGCTGCAAAGAAGAGATCTCAAAGAGCACCAGCTTCGGCTTCGGCTCTGGGAACGCGCCGGACAGGATCTTCGGCTCGTTGCCCTCTGCATCCACGACGAGGAGGTCGACCTTCTCCTTGTCCGCGCCGTACACATCCTTCCAGAGGGTCTCCAACGTGTAGGTGGGCACCTCGACGCCCTTCTTACGAGAGAGGCTGATCTCGTGGGAGGTCTCCGCACGGTCCAGGATCTTGCCAACGCCGGAGTGGTTGCTGACGAGCGCCTGCACTGGCTTCACGGTGGGATACGGCAGGTAATTCGCAGTCAACTTGGCGAAGATCTGGGGCACAGGCTCCAAGACGATGCCGTTCCAGTCGAATCGGGTGGCGTACTCCCAGATAGGGTCGCCTCCCACGGCGCACTCCGGCAGGTTCGTGCCGCAATTGCCGCCGATCTGGACGAAGTTCACGCCGCGCAGGTCCTTGCCGAGGTACTCCTCCCACTTCACGAAGAGTGGCACGTGGCCATCCTTCAAGGCGAGAGGCAAGGACTGCTCGATCTTGCGCGCTGCCAGCGCTTCCTGCGCCGCCTGCGTGTCCTTCAGGCCATACAGCGCGTCCTGCGGAGCCATCGTGAGTCCCACCTTGTCCTGATGGACCAGGTTTTCCAGCAAGACGTAGCCCTCCTTCTTCAGGTTGGCATCGATGCCCGCGAGCTCAGCAGACTGAAGATTGGCGATCTCAAAGAGCACCAGCTTCGGCTTCGGCTCTGGGAACGCGCCGGACAGGATCTTCGGCTCGTTGCCCTCTGCATCCACGACGAGGAGGTCGACCTTCTCTTTGTCTGCGCCGAATACATCCTTCCAGAGGGTCTCCAACGTGTAGGTGGGCACCTCGACGCCCTTCTTACGAGAGAGGCTGATCTCGTGGGAGGTCTCCGCACGGTCCAGGATCTTGCCAACGCCGGAGTGGTTGCTGACGAGCGCCTGCACTGGCTTCACGGTGGGATACGGCTTGTAGTTTTTGGTCAACTTGGAGAAGATCTGAGGCACAGGCTCCAAGACGATGCCGTTCCAGTCGAATCGGGTGGCGTACTCCCAGATAGGGTCGCCTCCCACGGCGCACTCCGGCAGGTTCGTGCCGCAATTGCCGCCGATCTGGACGAAGTTCACGTCGCGCAGGTCCTTGCCGAGGTACTTTTCCCACTTTACGAAGAGTGGCACGTGGCCATCCGCCAGGCGCAGCGGCAGTTCCAGGGCTGCCTCAGGAGCCAGCGTCAGCGCATCGGCGCAGGACGCTAGAGCTGCGGCGGCTGTCGCCGTTGCGCGAGCCACACGGGACAATGTCATTGTCGTCTGCTGCACCGCGGCGCGGCGGACGGCTACCACACGTATAGGGTTCAGTGTGCAGAACCGCTCCTGAGGGCGAAAACCCGTATCTTGACCCCAATCAGGTTAGAAAAGACGCGGAGGAGGATGAAGAGGAGGAGAAAGGCGGGAGGAGGACGACGAGGTGAATAGGACGAGGGGGAAGCAACAGAGGCGAGGGCGGCGGAACAGGGAGATACGGGATTTTGAAAGGACATCTGAAAAGTTGAAGGAGGAGGACGAAAAGGAGGGGCGGAAGCTTTGGATGTGGGGATTGCGTAGATCAACTCATATGCAAGCGTCTGTCAACTGTCAGCACTGAATCTCAGGAGCTTTGTCATTATCATGAAGCACGCACGGTGCAACGACCCTAGCGAGGCGGAGGTTAAAAGGTCAGATAGAAGGAAACCGAACGGTCATTCACTGTCCGTGCGGGCGTGGCTAAAATTGGCTTCCGCGGTGCGGATTGTTGAATTCTCCTTTCGGAACAATAAATATTGTTGATCCCCACCCCTCCGGGCCACATTCTATTTTTCGATGAAAATGCTTCCCCCGGGGCTCAAACCCTGCTTCTTACAATGGAAAACGGAATGTCACCAACCTGCGCTCCTGGCCCCCAATTTACAACAACAACAACAACAACAACAGCAACAACGGTTCCCGCCTGATACTTCCTCACAATGCACTGCAAAATCGCGCTCTCGCGTGGGACTTCCTCACCATTTATACAAGAATCGCGCTTCCGCGTCGAACTTCCTCGCAATTTATTCAGACGCCGCGTCGACACTCAGGAATCACGCTCTCGCTGTGGATTTCCTTGCGAGCTATTTGGAAATCGCGATCTCGCTCGAAACTTGCCCCGCCTGGGCCCGCCTTCCCGACCCGCCCCATAAGGTCTGCCCGCCCGATTTGCCAGTCTGGTTCCGCCAAGTGTCTTCTGCTCCCAGTTGCTCCATCCTCCTCCCTCCCCCTTGCCCCTTCCTTCCATCCGTCCTCTCTTCCCCTGCCTTCGGGGCTGCGTAGCATACACGTTGCAAGTGAGAATGATATAGAATCCAAGGGGGTACGATCGAAGAAAATGAGGACAAATATCGAGGGTTTGGGATATACGTGTTAAATGGCACGCGGGCAAAACAGAGCGAGCAGCCTCACACATCGGTGTGTTGTTGTTGTTCGTGTTGTTGTTGGTGGTGTTGGTGATGCTGTAGGTGTATACGTTTAGTTGGTGTTGGTGTGTGTTGTTGTTGGTGGTGTTGTTGCTGTATGTGTAGTTGTAGTGGTTGATGTAATTGTTGTTGAATTCTCATTTCTGAAATAGAAAAGTTGTTGGTCCCCCTGCCTGGTAACAATTGTATGTTCCAGTTGAAGTGCTTCTCCCGGGGCTCCCATCCTTTTTTACAAAGCGGAATGTCACCAAACTGCGCCCCTGGCCCCCCGGTTTACAACAAAAACGGCTCCCGCCTGATACTTCCTTACAATGTATTCCCAAGGCGCCCTCTCGCGCGGGACTTCCTCACCATTTATACAAGCATCGTGCTCTCGTGTGTGACTTCCTCGCAATGTATTCAAACGCCGCGCCCTCGACACTCATGAGTCACGCTCTCGCTGTGGATTTCCTTGCGATGTATTGGGGAATCGCGCTATCGCTCGAGACGTCCTCGCGATTCATGCAAGACGCACGCTTTAGCAAACCGCCTGCTCGATATGGCCGTCTGGGCCGCCTTCCCGATTCATGTCTACCCGCCCATCTGGCTCTGCCACGTATTCTCTGTTTCGAGCCCCCCTCATACTAATCTCGTGCTCCATCCTTATCCCTCCCCCTTGTCCCTTCCTTCCATACGTCCTCTCGTTCCCTGCTTTAAAGGCTGCACGAAATAAACGTTGCAGGTGAGGCGTATATACATATACAGATATATGTACAAATACATTTAGAACCCAAGGGGTAAGATCGATTAATAACAATAACAATAATAGGAAGAGAAGAGGCGGGAATCGAGGATTTGAAATATACGTGTTGAATGGCCCACGATCAGATAAGAACGAACGCTCTTAACATGATTGTTCTTGTTGTTGTCATTGTTGATGTTGTAGTTGTTTGCTGTTTCTGGTTTGTGGCATGTTGCTTGTTGATTGTTGTTTGTTGTCGTCGTCCCGCCTGCGACGCGGCCCGCGACCCACGCGCAACCCACCCACAATCCACCCGCGACTCACCCGTGCACCACCCGCAACCCACCCGCGACCCACCCCGCGACCCACCCGCGACCAACGGGCTACCAACCCACGACCCACCCCGCGGTCCGCCAACGACCCAACCGCGACCCATCCGCGACCCACCGCGCGATCCGCTGGCGACCCGCCCGCGACCAACCCCGATGCGACCCACCCGCGACCCACCCGCGACCCACCTGGGACCCACCCGCACTCCACCCGCGACCCACCCCGCGACCCAACCACGACTTAGCCCGCGACCCACCCGCGACCCACCCCGCGCCCGCCCCCGCACTCTTATCCGCAACTGCGGGGTGCTACTTATGCTTTTTTGGGGGGCGCGCGCAAGCAATCCCAATTGCGGCCAGCGGCGGTACATTCAGTTTGACGGCCAACTCATTTCTCACGGAAGAATTCCATCGCACGTCCTGGCATGCGCCTGAGCCGCGAGCGTCGGGCGCGCTGGTTTCGCCAGCCGTTCCCTACGGCATATCGCAATTTGACGATCATATCTCGATTTCTCTCCCTCTGTGTCTCCGCCACCGTGCCCTACGGCACGTTGATGCGCGATACAGTCCCAAAGGCTGTCAAGCAAGGCTTCTGGAATCTTCCAACAGGACCCACCCGTCGAAGCGCCCCCTCGAGTGCATCCCCCCCTGTGCCTTGTAACATCCATGGGCCCGCACCGCCGAGACCACAATCCCTTGTACTGCTCGCCAGCGTGAACCCCAACCTGCAAGTTGAGGCACTGTGGATGTGCTAGCTACGTGATGTGCAAGCGTCTCTGCTGTCGTATTCTCGGAAAGCAACATGCATCCTCGGGAAGCCGCCACAGGCGGCAACGGCCCGCAGTGGTCGGCAACAATCTGGTACGTGGCACCCCCTCTGGCGACAACGGGCGGCTGCCGTTCGGAAAGTGGCGAATCCTCAGGACCCCACCACAAGAGGCAACGGGCCGAAACGTGGCAGAGTCTCGAGACAGCCCCACGCGCGGCAACGGCTGGCAACGGGCGGCAGAAGACCAGAACGTGGCGAATCCCGGGGGCACCCCCGCAGGCGGCAACGGACCGCAACGGGGCGGCAGCAAGTCAGAACGTGGCGATTCCTCGGGGCACCACTCCAATCCCTTCGAACCGCAAGTAGGAAGCCTTCATTGCAAACACTGCTTGGGGAACAATACGTCTACACTCCCGGGGCCACGACCGCTTGCACAAAAAATATGGATCCGCGCTCCCTTGAAACAATCTGTGGATCTGAGCTTCCAAGGCCACAACCCTGGTAAAACAAAAACACATGGCTCCGCGCTCCCGAACTTCCAAGACGCTCGAGGCAGGCAGCCGCGGCCGCCAAGATGGCCCAGTGTGCCTCCAAGATGGCCCGAGTTTGCCCCCGGGGCGGCCCGCACGGCGGCGGCGTGAGGCGGCCGCGCGCGAGGCCATCGGGCTCGTCCCGCACACCGAGGTGGACAGGACGGCGCCCGCGGCCGGCACCCTGGAGCAGGCGCACCGAGGGGCTCAGAGTGAGGCCGCGTCTGGGCCAGGTGGATCGGCAGGGGAGTGACCGCGATGCTCTCTGGCTTGATCTGGCGGCTGGGCTGCTCCTCAGCCTCATTCTCGCCGCTAGAGCTGTCCGTGCGCAGGGTGGACGTCGTCCCCTGCTCGGTGCAGCTTGCTGCCTGGACGCTCCTTCAGCTTGCGCTGTGAGCCCCTGGCGGCCTCTTCCTCGCCACTGCTGGCGGGGATCGCGTCGGCGTGGGCTGCGGGCTTTGGCGACCGTTGTGCTGCCTTTTGGGCTCGCCGAGCTGCTTGCATTCTGGGTTCTGTTGAAATCCGCAATATGCGGACCATGCGGCCCACCAGGTCCCGATCATCATCCTCAGCACCCTCTCTATCCTCAAAGTCATCCTCATCCGTATTATCGCCCTCCTCCGCATCATCATCATCATCATCATCATCATCATCATCATCATCATCATCATCATCATGATCATCATCATCATCATCATCATCACCACCACCACCATCATCATCATCATCATCACCATCATGACCATCCGCCTCCTCCTCCTCCTTGTCCGCCTTATCATCATCATCATCATCATCATCATCATCATCATCATCATCATCATCATCATCATCATCATCATCATCGGCAGCATCATCACGCCGTCGTGGTCATCATCGCCATCATCCTCATCACCACCATCATGTGCATCAACACAATATCACCATCGTCAACATTCTCATCCTCATCCTCATCATCGTCATCATCATCAACACCATGATGTTGTTATTATTCGTCTACGTGTTGAAATTCATCTTCATCATGATCATCATCATCACTACCAACATCTCCACCAGACTGATCATCATCGTCATCATCGTGATCACCATCATCATCACCACCATCGCCTTCGCTATCAACAGCACCATCACAAGCAGCGTCATCATCGTTATCATCACCACCACAATCATCACCATCATCATCATCATCATCACCACCACCACCACCATCATCACCACCACCACCATCATCGCCTCGAGCTGCCCGCTCTCATCAGAACCCCAGCCAGGCGGGCGCCGCCTCCCTCGCCAGCGACGCCGCGGGCGTGCCCCGCCGCGGCCGGGCGGTCGCCGGCCGGGCCGGCGCCGCCTGGGGGGAGCGAGGGCGGAGGCCTCCCAGATGGGGCCCCAGCAGGACGGCCACGACGACGAGTATGATGAGTATGACCACGACGACGAGGATGATGACGACGACGAGGATGATGATGACGATGACGATGATGACGATGATGATGCCGAGGATAATGATGATGATGACAATGATGATGATGAGGATAATGATGATGATTATGATGGTGATGATGATGATGATGATGATGATGACCACGACGACGAGGATGGTGACGACGACGGAGATGATGATGATGATGACGATGATGATGATGATGACGATGATGATGATGACGATGATGATGACGATGATGCCGAGAATAATGATGATGATGATGATGATGACGATGATCATGATGACGATGATAATGATGATGCCGAGGATAATGATGATGATGCTGCTGATGATGATGATGCCGAGGATAATGGTGATGATGATGATGACGAGGATGAGGATGATGATGATGATGATGATGATGATGATGAAGATGAAGATGAAGGTGATGATGTGGGGTCGGAGGATCGCGCCGCATCGCCGATTCATCGGCAATTCATCGGCGATGCACTGGCGACGTCGGCGATGCATCGGCGACGTCGGCGGGGAGGAAGTCGGGTTCCACGTCGAGCCGCCTCGGCGATGCAGCGGCGATGCTTCGCGATGCTCTGGCCCGATCTGCTCGAACCCCCTCTGGGAGGCCTAGAGACGGGTCTGGCAGGAGGAGCGTTGCTTGCATGCGTTGGCGCTGCGACGCGAGGCTGACTCCCCAGACCCAGACATCCTGCGTCTCGAGAAGATCGAGACGGCGGGCATTTCTCAGTTTTCGGCTTTCGGAGGCCCTCGCCAGGACCTGGGACCGTCAGAAGACGGCTCGGGACGGAAGATTGGGCCCACGATAGTGATCGAGAGGTTGTGGGCCCAAGCCTAGAGAAAAACTCGACGCTGGATGTATGGGTCGGGGTCACATTTTCAGTCTGCTGGGCTGGCGAACGCAAACGTGGGCGACTCGGCTACACGCGCAAGAGTGAGCCTGGGCAACATGAGTGTCCCTTGGTGCGCGTTTCTGGTTGTTCTGGTCAATCAGATGAGAACGCGCGGTCGTTTCTTCTCCGAGGCAAGGGTCCATTGCCACGTGCTGGAAACTGATCGCTGGCCATGGTGCTCTCAAGCCTACCCCGTAAGGGTAGCAATTCAGAATCGAAGTGCCGACCCAACGGATGGCGCCGAGGAGGAAACAATCAAATTCCTGCCTCGCTTACAGCCGTGCCCTCCCCACCTGTGGCAGCATGTTCGTCTGACAGTATGTCTTCGCCTCGGTATACTTGCTCGCAACGGTATGGCTGCCAACTCATGCTCGTAAAACCACCAGCAGCTCCGCCTGCTGCACTGCCCGCACTTGAGCTTTCGAGCCTGAGCTTTCGAGCACTGCCGTCGCTGCGGAATTTGCACATGCTGCTCCTGCTGCTATTGTTTCGTTGTGCAGGCGCAGTGGTGATGAACAGTACCAGCTGTCCCGCCGAGGGAAACAATGGACTCCACCACGAGCAATGGAAGAGGAGAAAGGAGACGAGGAAGGCGGGCAAGGGATAATTTGAGGCGGGCGATGGGGGAAAGCGAGAAAGAGAAGGCCTTCTCAGAAGGCTCGGAAGTCCCCTGGCCTTCTCAGAAGTGTTCTGACCCTTCCCCAAAAACACAGAAAATCTCTCAGAAGGCGCGTGCGAGAAGTCCAGCCGCCGTCTACGGAAGCCTTATCCTTCTCACTCCCCCCCCTCGCTGGCCGCCGAGATCATGGGCAATCGCGTTGTGTGGGCATCCCTGATCACTCTACCAATCATTTGTATAAACACGCGGCGGACGCAACGGAGGCGGAGGTAAGGCAGCAGACGCGAGGACGAGGAGAGAGGCAGGAGAAAAGAAGATGGCGACCCATCTCCTGCTCCTGCTGCCACTGCGCTGATTTGAAGAGCACTGTCTGCTAAATCGCGCACAGCTTGCTCAGAGCCGTTGCCAATTCACGACGAGAATAGTCCTGCAACCACAACCAAACACATCGCAAACCCTTCCTGAGTGAAAGCAGCACCAGCAACATCACTAACAATTTCTTCGCCGCCTGCAACACTTGAGAAAGATAGACTCGCCAGCTCGAGCACGCTCAGTAGCTTCCTCAGCTTGCGCATTAGATGTGGCCTCAATGTGAACTCCCTGGTAACTGATAATGTTATCTGCACGGGCCTTGTTAGCATGCTCTTTGATGCACATGTTTGAACAACATCCTACGAACTGTCGTGATTGTGAAACACTGACATTGGCCAACCTTCAGTTGCACGTGCTGGTGAATTCGACCCGTCCTTACCATTTCGATGACTCTGGTAGCAGCAAGGCTCCTTGAGCAAGGCCCTGGCCACTCATCACTGAACGGAAATCAATGTGCAATCGCGTTCTTGGTGAAGTTCCGTGCGTGATTAGCTTCGGAGCAAAGCCCGTCAAACACTGAACTGGATACGCCGTTCTACTCGCATTCGTGCCGCAATGCGTTGTTTTGAAGGACGCATGGTGCTCAGCATGCCGTGCAAACTGACACGGCAAGAACGGGTGGGCCAGTTTGTGGGTCAGATCCGGCGACGCGACACGCGGAGCAAACGCTCCCGGCCGCAACGCAACTACATCTGCGCTTCATGCAGCGACGACCCCGACCAACCTTATGTCGGGCGTGTCCCCCGACAGGGGGATTTTCGACGAACCATAAAAAACACCCCCACAATATCCCAAAAAGGTAAAAAACAACTTATTCCCCCGACTAGTATTTGTTGATTATTTTTGGGGTATTTCTTATTTTTGATCGAACATCCCCCTGTAGGGGGACACGCCCGATTTAAGACCAGCCCAGCGCGGCGGAGGCAGGACGGAAGGGGCAGGGACGCGGCGGCACGAGGAGGGCAGGAGGGAGAGGCGGGAAACGAAAACGCAGTCCCCCCCTCGACCCTCCTCCCTCCCCTCCTCGCCCTCGTTGCTGCCCTCGCCGCCGTCTTCCCAAGAGCAGCCTTTTCCAAACTCACTCCCTCCACGACCTCCCGCCTCCGTCGTGCCTACGCCGGCGATATGTTCCTCCTCCTCTCCGCGGTCTCCATCTGCTCTCCTCCCCTCTGCCACTTCGCCCCGCCCTCCTCAGAATCCAAGAGGCCTCTAGCCCACAGCCCGGGCACGGTGGCGGGCTGGGCCGAGGGTCACTAGAGGAGGAGAGCACTCCTCGTGCAGGGAGGCAAGGGGCTGGGAGGACGCAGGGCATGAGCAAAACCACCCGCATGCAATGAACAACATCTTCGGCCGCCGAGGGGTAAGCCTATCTCGGCGATACTGGGTGATACGAATGACGATAATGGCGACAATAATGACGTCATTATAATCGTCATTATCGTCATCATAGACGTCGTCATTCTCGTCATTATTGTCGTCATTATCGTCATTATTGAGGGCGCAAGTCGCAACAGCCACAACAAGAGCCCAATCGTCGCCAGTCGACAAGGGGCCGAAGGCGATACGGACGAAGAGATCCGACCAGTCACAGCTGGGGGAGCTGTGGTCCCTATCCCCCCTGGGTGAACCCATCGCATCGACGATCTCTCGAGAGGGGCGCCGAAATCAAGGGGTCCCCCAGGGGGGTAGGGACCACGGCTCCCCAACCCGATCATAATTCTGGACGCCCGAAGTGGGCACGGAAAGAATGGGGTCAATGCCCAACAACAAGTGTTGCCCCAAACCAACAGCGGCCGCTGTTGGGCAGGCGGCATTCTGTCTCGAATGGACACAGGCCGCGGCGGCGTGGACAGCGAATCCTGTTCAAAATGCACAAGAACTGCGGGTGGTCTTTGTGCCTATTTCAGGGGGGCGTAAGACCGGGTACAGGGGACTCGGAAATCCCCGACGAGGTCGTGAAAAAATGACGAGGCCGAGCCTGCATTTTGACGAGGCCTCCCGCTGCAGACATCCCAGGAAACTCCTCCTCGTCAAAATCCGAGGCGCGGTCGTCAAAAAACGATGGCGGACCCGAGTCCTGGCAAACCCGGGTTTTACGCTCCCCCGACTATGCTTTCCGTGCCCATCTCGGGCGTCCAGAATGATCCTCCCTGGAGGGAGAGGGCACGGCAGCCGCCGTGCCGCAAGCAAGAACGCCGAGCGGAGGAGCGGACGGGGCTCCTCTCTAGCCGGAGGCGGGCCTGAAGATACCTCGTCCTCCCCACCCGATCATAGTCCTCCCTGGAAGGAGAGGGCCCGGCAGCCGCCGTGCAGCAAAGAAGGAAACGCCGAGGGGAGGAGCGGAACGGGGGCTCCTCTCTGGCCGGAGAGGCGGGCCTCGGCCACGATAGGGGCTCCCCTGGGCCCGCCTCTCCGAGGAGCGGCCTCTGCCGAGGCGAGGGCCCCCTCGTGAACCCCAGCGAGCGAACGAGCGTACAGGGCAGTTTTTAAGACATGGGATTTATATCCGCCGATCCGGCGTGTGAGTTTCAAGGAGTCTCAGCTACAGCCTCGAGGCTGAGCCTCAGCCTCTGGGGGGGTTGCCGGGGTGGCTCTGCCGGGGAAGGGGGGGTGGGGTAAGGGGGGGGTGCGAGTTTCCGGCGGATGCGTTTTTTGACACCCCTCACAAGGATCGTGGCCTCCGAGGGGGTTCCGAACTCGAGTACCACCCCTCCCGCACCAAGAGGCTCCGAGGAGGCCTCCAAGAGGCCCCAAGGGGCGCAGAAGAGGCCCCCAAGAAGCCCCAAGAGGCTCCCAAGAGACCCCCAAGAGGCCCTCTAGTGGCCCCAAGAGGCCCAAGAGGCCCCCAAGAAGCCCCAAGAGGCGCCCAAGAGGCCCCCAGAAGTCCCAGCCAACCACGAGATCCCAACCAGCATCCATGAGGCCTCTGACCCACCACCCACGCACGGTGGCGGGATAGGCCGACGGCCACTGGATAAATGCTGAGTGAGAGGAGGGGAGGGAAAAAGAGAGGAGGGACGAGGGCGAAGAAGGATCACATCAGTCGGAGCGCCCCGGATCGGCGGCACTGGCCGAAGGCCACTACAATATATATATATATATATATATATATATATATACTAGAACCACGCGCGCGCTTCGCGCGCGCTTAGGTTCTAGCTAGGATCGTCACCGTCGTCATCATGAACATCACCATCGCCATCATTCCCCCCGCCAGGGCTAATGTACATCGTTTCTGGATGCTTCTGGCCGGAATACGAAAGGAGTTTCTGTAGTTAGAGTCTCTGGGGGAAGTCGCGGGGAAGCTTTTGTTGTCTTTGGTGTTGCGTCGCCAGGAGGTCTGGGCTCCCTCCTCCTCGTGTTCCTACCTCCTCTCTGGACGTCCGATGTCGTGATGCTTTCTGTGCGCGGCCCCTGGACCTCTCGACGACTTCCTGGGGATGTTTTTTTTTCATCCTGAGTCGTTTTCTGACGGTCCCGGGACCCTGCGAGGGGCCCCGGAGGCCGAAAATTGACCGAAACCGCCGTCGTGATTTTTCCAAGACGTCGGAGGTCCAGGTCGTGCTTCCCGCCTCCCCAGACCTCCGACGTCGTAATTTTTGCGACCTCGGGCCCAGGAATCGATTGGGAAAACGCACATGGGAAGGCAAGAAATGATGGACCCATCATTTCGTACCTGTGCCTTGATCAGTGGGACGGGCTTCGCACCGCCGCACATCACAAGACACGCTCGAGCGGATCCAGCCGTGGCGACGTCGGGGACTGCAGAAGGTCGCAAGGACACGGAATCTGAAAGGAAGAAAGAGAAAGAGAGAGAAAGAGAGAGAGAGAGAGAGAGACAGACAGACAGAGAGCGAGAGAGAGAGAGAGAGAGATGGAGAGAGAGAGAGAGAAGAAGACAGAGAGAGAGAGAGGCAGAGAGAGGAAATGGAGAGGAGGCGAGCTTGAGTCAACGAAAGTCGCAGGGAAGGGGGCAGGGGGAAGAAGGCCAGAGAGCGCTGAAGGATACAAATACTGGAACCCTCTTGGGATTTTTTGGGGGGCCTCGTCCGGCCGCTCGCTGGGAGTTTGACGTAGCTTCTTGGGAGCCTCTGAACCTGTCGGGGGCCTCCTGGAAGCAGGTTCGAAGCATTGTGGGGGCCGATTTGGGGCTTCTCGGGGCCTCCTTTGGGCCTCTTGGGGGTCTCCTGGGGCCTCTTGAGGGGCCTCCTGGGGGCCTCCTGGCGGCCTCTTGGGGCGGAAGGCTCGAGCTTGCGGTTCGTGGTCCCCCTCTGGGCCCCCTCTTGGGCCCGTCTTGGGGCCCTCTTGGGCCATCTTGGGCGCCTCTTGGGCCGTCTTGGGGCCCTCTTGGGCTGTCCTGGGGCCCTCTTGGAAGCTTCTTGGGCCGTCTTGGGGCGGTCTTGGGCGCCTCTTGGGCCGTCCTGTAACGTCGGAAAGCCCAAAAGACAACTTTGTTGAAAATGTACGTTTTACGAAGGGAATGGGCCAATTTTTGCGTCTAGGGGCCCTCTTGGGACGCATGTTGGAGGCTTCTTGGGGCGTCTTGGGGGCGTCCTTGGACGTCTGGGGTCTCCTGGGGCCTCTTGAGGGGCCTCCTGGGGGCCTCCTGGCGGCCTCTTGGGGCGGAAGGCTCGAGCTTGCGGTTCGTGGTCCCCCTCTGGGCCCCCTCTTGGGCCCGTCTTGGGGCCCTCTTGGGCCATCTTGGGCGCCTCTTGGGCCGTCTTGGGGCCCTCTTGGGCTGTCCTGGGGCCCTCTTGGAAGCTTCTTGGGCCGTCTTGGGGCGGTCTTGGGCGCCTCTTGGGCCGTCCTGTAACGTCGGAAAGCCCAAAAGGAACTTTGTTGAAAATGTACGTTTTACGAAGGGAATGGGCCAATTTTTGCGTCTAGGGGCCCTCTTGGGACGCATGTTGGAGGCTTCTTGGGGCGTCTTGGGGGCGTCCTTGGACGTCTGGGGTCTCCTGGGGCCTCTTGAGGGGCCTCCTGGGGGCCTCCTGGCGGCCTCTTGGGGCGGAAGGCTCGAGCTTGCGGTTCGTGGTCCCCCTCTGGGCCCCCTCTTGGGCCCGTCTTGGGGCCCTCTTGGGCCATCTTGGGCGCCTCTTGGGCCGTCTTGGGGCCCTCTTGGGCTGTCCTGGGGCCCTCTTGGAAGCTTCTTGGGCCGTCTTGGGGCGGTCTTGGGCGCCTCTTGGGCCGTCCTGTAACGTCGGAAAGCCCAAAAGAGAACTTTGTTGAACATGTACGTTTTACAAGGGAATGGGCCAATTTTTGCGTCTAGGGGCCCTCTTGGGACGCATGTTGGAGGCTTCTTGGGGCCCCTTGGGGGCGTCCTTGGACGTCTGGAGGCCATCTTCAGCATCTCGGAGCCCTCTTGGAGGCCTCTTGGAAATTTCTTGGGCCGTCTTGGGCGCTCCTGGGGCCGTCTTGTCTGACCGGGGAGGCCTCCGGCAAGCCCCGACGAGCCTCCGGGCCCCCCGGAGCCCACATTTGTGGTCGAGCTCCCGGCCCCGGGCCCCCGGACCCGGTGCGCCGTTATATGTGTATATATATATATATACATATATATATATATATATATATATGTGTGTAGGATCTTCAATACATGATTAATGTATGAGAAATGTATATTTATGAATGAGTTCATGCATGAACTCATCGTTGTCGATGAAAATAAATCCCTGCATTTGGTATACATGATCCGCAGGAGGAGCATGTATTAAAAACGGCACTGCAAGCCTTGCGCCGGATGGCGCGCGAGCAGGGTGAAGCATGAGAGCACTGCGGCAGAGAGAAGACGGCATGAATTGCGTCGGGCTCCGCTCGTGTTCACTGCCGACTCGCACAGAGCCGCTCCCGAACCCGAGACGTGCTTTGTTTGTGTTCTTCCGAGTCTTCACTGTACGCGGAGATACTCCCCGGATCTGGACCGAAGGAGCGGCTCAAAAACCAGAGACCACCTAAAGCCGAATTGTTTCCTTAGTTCAGCGCCTTCGCTGTACGGGGATCTATTTATATATATATATATATATATATATATATATATATCTATCTATCTATATATATATATATGTATATAGCGAGAGAGAGCGAAAGAGAAACAAACAACATACATATGACAAACAACACAACAGAGAAAGAGAGGAGGAGATAATCCGGTGGCAACGCATGGGGGGCCTCCCATACAATCTGGTTGGCTCTTGCGAATCGACGCTGATCGACGCCATCCACTGCGAATCGACGCTAAATCCACGCTGGTCGGCTCGAAAGCGGCGCTACCCCATCGACAACAAAACGCTAGACGACGCTAGCGCACTCGAAAGGCAACCTTACGACGGTACACAAGGCCCCCACGATTTGGCCCAAGGTGCCCCAAGGATTTCCACGAAGGCCCCCACGGCCCCCAGAGGACCTCCCACGAGGCCCAGGAGGGCGCCAAGGGGATCCAACATGGAGCGTGAAGCTGGGGGCACCTTGCCCAAAAGGGCACGTTCAGCAACCCCCGAAAAATCTGAGAGACGACGCGGGCCTCCGAGCCGATGACGACGCGGAGGGTTGCCGGGAGGAGGCCGAGGGTTGCCGGGAAGAGGAGGAGGAAGGAGAAGGATAAGGACAAAGCGAGGAGGAGGAGGAGGAAGAGGAGGAAGAGGAGGAGGAGGAGGAGGGAGGGAGGAGGAGGAGGAGGAGGAGGGAGGAGGGAGGAAGGAGGAAGGAGGAGGGAGACGGGGTGCGACGACGACGCTCGCGAGCCGCAGCGGCCCGCGCGGGCGCGCAGCCCGCCCCCCCCCCCGCCGCCCCCGCCTAGCCAGTCGGAGGGCGAAGCGAAGGCCCTCGAGGTGCCGCGGGCCGCCGTGTGCGGCGGGGGGTCCGCCTGCCCCCCCTGCGCCCCTTTCTGGCCCGGCAGGGCTGCCTCCTCGTCTGCTCCTCCTCCCTCCTCCCGGGCCCCTCTCCTCCTCCTCCCTCCTCCTCCTGGCTCCTCCTCCTCCTCCTCCTCTCCTCCCTCTCTCCTCCTCCTCCTCCTCCTCTCCTCTCCCTTCTCCGCTCCCTCCTCCTCCTCTTCCAACTCCTCCTCCTCCTCCTCATCCTCCTCCTCCTCCTCCTCCTGCTCCTCCTCCCCTTCGCCGCTCCCTCCTCTTTTTGATTTCCAGCCGTTCCGCGCCCGAGCGGCCCTGAGTGGGCCGGCCCGTGCGTTCCCGATGCAAACTTCGGAGCGACCTTGCCTGGGGGAGCCCGCCATCAAGAGGCATGGGCCATAGAAAAGCGGCAGCGCAAGCCAGACCGTAGCTGTGATTAGGCGCATGCAAATGGGCCACCCTTCCCTTCTTCTTCTCCTCCTCTTTCTCCTCCTCCTTTTCCTGGCGAACACCAGTGATGCCGCACAGTACGCTGGCAACAGAACGCAGGGGCCCGACGCCTTCATCAGCTACATTGCTGGAACCAGCGTGTGCGAGAAGAGCGGGAAGTGGCAGCAGACTCTGGCCCGGCTCCGCGAGCGGGAGAGAGGAAGGACACAGCCCGACGGTTTCAGATACAGCGCCCAAAGAAACGCATGTGACAAAAAAAGGGCAGTGGCAACAGGCTCTGGCCAGGCTCCAAGACACGGAGATGAAACTAGAGCCCGACGTCATCAGCTACAATGTTGAAGCCAGCGCGTGCGAGAAGTGCGAGCAGTGGCAGCTAGCTCTGGCTGGTGTGCGAGAGGCAGGAGGCAGGCTGAGCGAAACGTGCGGGTGGGCCACGATCAACTACAACGCTGGGAGCAGTCCTTGCGAGAAAGGGGCTGCGCAGTGGCAGCCGCGAGAAAAGCGCGGGCGGGTCACGATCAGCTTCAACGCTGGGAGCAGTCCGTGCGAGAAAGGAGGTGCGCAGTGGCAGCCGACGCTGGCGCTACGTGAAAGGTGCGGGCGGGCCACGATCATAAAGGCTGGGAGCAACCCGTGCGAGAGCGAGGGCGCGCGTTGGCAGCCGACGCTGGCGCTGAGCGAAACGTGCCGGTGAGCCACGATCAGCCACAACGCTGGGAGCAGCCCGTGCGAGAGAGGGGGCGAGCTTTGGCAGCCGAAGCTGGCGCTGCGAGAAGCGCGGGCGGGCCACGATCAGCAACGCTGGGGGCAACCCGTCAGATCAGGGGACACGCAGTGGCAGCGGACGCTGGCGCTGCGAAAACGGTGCCGCGCGATGCGAAAGGGCGATGCGAGAAGAGGGAAGCGAAGTTGGAGCCACATGTCACCTGCGAGAGGCGGGAAGAATCGGCATTGTTCCCAGCCCCTGCCATCCACCTTCTTCCGCTCTGCCTCACCCTCATCGCCACGGCGGGGCGCGGACGAACACGGCACGGATCCCACACCACTGCGTGAAGTGCCACTAGGTGGGAGGCGGGAGTCGAAGTCCGAGCCCGACAGGAACAGCTACAGCGCGGGGATCGGGGCGAACCGCTGGGAGCAGATCGTGGGAACAGCCCGTGCGAGAAGAAGGGCAGCGGCAGCTCCGACAGCCTCGATTGCTGCTAGTGCAGGGGTCGGGGCGTGCGCAAAGCCACGCAGTGGCAGCAGACTCCGTTGCCGCAGCGGTCGGACGGACATTTCACTAACGACATCGCCGGGATGAGCTCGTGGGCGGAATGGCAGGGGAGCGGCCGTGCGAGGCAGGGTTGCAGCCCATCGGGAGCTCAGAGGCTGGCCTGCTGCGAGAAGCGGGAGGTGAAACTGGGGCCCAATATCGTCGGGAGCTCAGTGGCAAGCCTCTTGTGAGAAGCGGGGGGGGGAAGCTGGACCAAAATATCGGCAGAGGCAGCAGGGTCTGCTGCCGCTGGGCTCGGACGGGCCACCCTCAGCTACAGTCCAGAGACCAGCTCGTGTGAGAAATTGAAAGCCCCTTTGAGGCAAGCCCTCAAAAGGCACAGCGTTCTGGCTCGGCTTGGGGACGGCCCGAAACAGCCAAGATGACCCACGGCACGAAGCCGTAGGGCGTCGTGATCCGTGCTGGCCCGCAACACTCCCGCAACACTCCTCTTCATGTCCCTCCTCCTCCTCCTGCTCCTCCTCCTCCTCCTCCTCCTCCTCCTCCTCGTCATCCCCCTCATCCTCCTCATCCTCCTCCTCACCCTCCTGCTCGTCCTCGTGGTCCTCGTCCTCGTCCTCCTCCTCATCTTCCTCCTCATCCTCCTCCTCTTAATCCTCATCCTTTCCCCAGCCTTCCTCCTCCTCGTCTTCCTCCTCCTCGGGCTCATCCTGTTTTCCGTCCTCATCCATGTCGCCCCCTCCTTTACCACTTCCTCTTCCGCACCGTCGTTTTGCCACGGCGCTCCGAGACACATGTTTGCCAATGGGGCGGGGGCGGGCGACGGGCCTAGACAGGCCAAGCCCGCCATCTTGACTATGCTGCCCCTCCTCCGCCTGCACCGTGCGTTCTCCCTGTCACGCGTGCGTCCCCCGCACCATCCGCCCGTTCCTCGGTTCCCCACGGGCATCGTGCTACCGCTACAAGACAATAGGGATCGAAAGGTTTTGCCCAGCAGCGGCGACCCTCAACCACGAATGAAGTCTACGTGCCGGGTACAAATAACGAAACACCAGTATCATCCTGAACCACGACCGGTCTTTATTTTGTCGAATGGATTTCCTGTGCTCTAAAACCTCAAACATCACGATGCAATTTATATATATACATACACATGTCGCCATTTGATTTCATTCAAACTCACCCCGGCGGTATAGCCCCACATGGTACGATGGTTGGCTCGTTTGGGCGTAATCGTCATCGTTGTTCCTGTGCTTGCGGAGGTTAGCTGCCTGGGTCGTATGCGCCAAGACCTTCTTCCGTGGCGCAGGCCCCCCGTCGGTCCCCTTACTGCTTAATCCTCGCCCTCGTGCATGTTTATCCCTCCTCCACCATGCCCACTTTTATTGCAATGGCGCGGACATCGGTTTTCGTTGGCGCCGTCGCCGCTGCGGCTGCCAAGGGCGAGTTCTCAGATGGCCAGATCGCGAAACCGCGGGGGCAACCTCGCGAACACAAATCCGCTGGCTTCGAGCGTCAACTCTTGGGCGGGAGGCAGCGCGGATCCGAACTCTGCGGCGAGCTGCTCGACGAAGTTGCCCCCGCGGTCCGTGCTCCAGACACTCGCGCGAATGCATCCGCAGGATCAGCACGTAGGCGCGCGCGTGGCGCGGGAAAACGTGACGCAGAGGGTGCAGTCAACGCCGTTCGTCCGACATGCCCGCGCGGCCAGCGCCCACATCCCTGGCACAATCGACGATAGCGCTGTCGCGAAGCGTCTGGCCCTGCGACAGCGTGAAGGTGAGGCAGGACGCGCGCGCCGGGGTGGACCCCGAATGGTGCATGGCGGGCGGCCTCGAGCTCTGCCACGTGAGCTCCTGCTCGCTGGGCCTGAACATGAGCAGCCTCCGCGCGCGTGCCTCGGCATGGCCGCTGTCGCAACGCATTCGTAATCTTGAAACACAAATTCGTCGACCTTTTGGTAGACCGGGACTCCTTGAAACCGTGAAACCGGGGTAAACAAAAAACACGTTCGGCGCGCACCCTGGTACCGCAGCCGATCTGCGGACCCCATATGGAAGTGGGCTCCCGCTCGGGACTTCCTCACCATTCGCAGACGAGTCTCCCGATCGAATCTTCCTACACATCCGCGCCTCAAAAAGACATTTACAATATTTAAATGCCCCGCTGTGAATACGAACGTGATCTGCCGGCCCCATACGGGGAAGGCTCCCGCATGAGACGTCGTCACACTTCACCCACAAACGAGTCTCCCGCCGGAAAAAAAAACTCCAGATCCACGCGTCAGGAACCCAAGGATGACGAAACTTACAAGAGATGGATGGCGTGCTCGGATTGCTAGCGTGATCTGGCGACCTGGAAAGGACGGGGCTCCCGCCTGCGACTTCCTCACAAGTCACCCGCTCGAGACTTCCTCCATACGCACGCCCGACGAACCCCAAACCGACGACGGTTAGAACATATTGACGACCCGTTCGGATTATTTTCGTGAGCTGGCGGCACCAAAGGGAGGGGGTTTCCCGCCTGAGACTTCCTCACACTTCACCCACAGAGGGGACCCCCGTGCGAAATTTCCTGCCGATCCACACCTCAGGAGCCGAAGCGGAGGACAGTTATAAAATGTGGATGGCCCACGCGGACCCATAAGGTGCGACTTCTGCACGCTCCACTACGAGGCTCCAGCTCGAGAGTTCTTCCAGTCCACGCCTGAGAAACCCAAACACTGACGACAGTTACAGGATATGGATGACCAGATCGGATTACTGACACGATCTGGCCGCCCCATAGGGAAGAGGTTTCCGTCTGAGACTTCCTCGCGATTCACTCACATACCAGGCTCCCGCTCGAGACTCCCTCCAAAATCCCACAGCCCGATTACAAAGCAATTAGGCCAACCACGCTGGCCAAGACATCGAGACAATGCCCGCGGGGCGCTGGGGCGCTAGATCAAGCCGTCCGGACAATCACGGGGCCCCCAAAGTACGACTCTTACAGGGTACGCATGACACGCTCGGGTTGCTAACATGAGCTGGCACCCCCATAAAACAGGAAGCTCCCGAATGAGACTGTCTCACCATTCGCTCATAGACGAGGCTCCCGCTCGAGACTTCCTCCAGATCCACCCTTCAGGAACACAAAACTGACGGCTGCCACAACATATGGATGACCCGCCCGAATTACTAACATGATCTGGCGGCATAAGGAGGGACTCCCGCCTGAGACTTCCTCACACTCTACTCACAGATGAGGCTCCCGCCTGCAACGTCCTCCAGATCCACGCGTCGGGAGCCCAAATTTCTGACAGCAGCAGGATCTGGATGACCCGTTCGGATTGCTCACATGATCTGGCGGCCCTATAGGGAAGGCGCTCGCGCAGGACGCTGCTGGGCGGGGCCCTGAGAGGCCGCAGCAACGAGGGGCAACGACAGGGGGGGGGACTGGCATAACGGGGGGGGGGGGGGGGGGCAAATCGATATGAAATCGGCGATACCTCGCCGACGGATCGGCGATAGCCGCCCGATGGCGAATCCGCACCTTCCTGGGCGGGGCTCGGCTATCGGCCCCCATCGGCAATCCACGGGCGAGTGGGGGGGTCGGTGCGCCCCCCCCCCCGACCATGCACATTCCCCCCCTATCGTTGCCCCTGAGTTGGCAAGCCACTGCTTGGGGGGACCCCTGTGAGGCCGCACCAGATGATTCACCCAAAAAACCCTGACCCTTTGGGAGGGGACCTAAGTTAGGAGGCCCAGAAACATTAGGGATATATAGAGGGGTCTCTTCTGCACATCTGCCGGGCCAGACCGCCCAGATAGACTATCCCTCGTGTGCAGACGGGGACCTCAGTGAGGCCGCGTCTTCATCGCGTCTCGGTGAGCGTCAGCCGCTCACGCTTCAGGAGCGCACAAACCTGACGACTGTTACAACATATGGATAACCCACTCGGATTACTGACAGTGTCTGATGGTACCATGCGGAAGGGACTCCCGCCTGAGACTTCCTCACAACTCACTCACAGACAAGGCTTCCGCTCGAGACTCCCTCCAAATACATGCCCCAGGAGCTCCAAACTAATGACAAAAACAAGATACTGGCGACCCGCTCGGATTAATAACATGATCTGGCGGCACCGAAGGGAAGGGACTTCCGCGTGAGACTTCCCAGCGCTCCATTCACAGACGAGGCTCCCGCTCGAGACCTCCTCCAGATCCACGCCCCAGGCGCCTCATAATGACGACAGTTACTGGATATGGATGACCCACTCGGATTCTCAACATGATCAGGCGGACCCACAAGAAGGGGGCTGCCGCCTGAGACTTCTGTCCAATTCACTCGCGAACGAGGCTCCCGCTCGAGACTTCCTCCACGACAATTGGAAGATACGAACGGCCCGCTCGGCTCACTGGCATGATCTGTCTGGAGGCCCCACTGGGATTATGATGTTCCAATTTGCTTTTGCCTTGATCAACAGAAAGAATTTCGAACCCCCGAAAAGGTACCGAAACTCGAAAGTTTTACGTGTCGGGCCCTGGGAGACACTCGTCCGACACTGTTTCGACACTCTTTCGACACTTCTCCGGGTGCTCGAAATTATTCCTGGGATGTGGTTCTTAAGTGCGATGGGAGCAACATAACACCAGGAAGGGATTCCCGCCCACGACTTCTTCACACTTCAATCACAGACGAAGCTCCTGCTCGGGACTTCGTCCAGATCCACGCCTCAAAAAGCTCCACTGTGACGACAGCGACAGGACGTGGATGACCCGCTCGGACTGCTTACTCGATCTGGCGGCCCATAGGGAGGAACCTTCCGCCTGAGACTCCCTCACACGCCACTCCCAGGCGAGGCTCCCGCTCGGCTCTTCCTCAACATGAATGCGTGCGCGTGCGCGCGTGACTGAGGTGCGTTCTTTGGCAAGCATCGGCATGCTCCGGCGCTGGCCCAGTAGCTCGTGCGCGCCCCGTTCGCATCGCAAGCCGAAGGCAAACAGCGCGCGGATTAGAGACGACGACGTATTGAAGCGTTGTGCGTGCATCCCGTTTTGATCTGATCACGCGGGCATACAATCTGGCAACACGCAGGAACAGCCAACGAGTCGCAACGCCGCCGGTGGGAAAGGGAAAGCGCGTGCCCCGTGCCCCTAATTCCTAGAATGCCACAGTGTGAGTGCGAATGGTAACATGAATCAGACGATGAGTACGCGTGAGATGATGGTGATGGTTGTGGTGATGGTGCGAGCGTATACGAGTGAACGCGTGCGTGCGAAGACGATGATGATGTGATAGTAAATGATCGTGAATGTTGGGTGTGAGTGCGATGATGGATGGCAATGAACTAAAGCAAATATGACGATGCTGACGATGATGCTGCTTATTATGCTGATGAGGATGGGGAAGCCGATGATGATGAGGCTGCGGATGATGATGATGAAGATGATGACGATGATACTGATGATGATGCTGATGATGATGATGCTGATGATGATAATGCTGAGGCTGATTATGTTGCCGCTGATGATGGTGATGATGATGATGTTGTTGATGATGATGATGATGATGATGATGATGATGAATCAAGAGTTGTGAGCCGAGCTATGCGCGGGGTGTCGAAAGAACACAAGAAACCCCTTAGGATGCTGGGATAATTACTTCGACGGTAAGACCCCGAATGAGAATCCTCTCCGACATAACCCTCATAGTCGTCCTCGTGATTGGGGAGGCGCCCTTGCTGTCTCCTCTGCGTCATTCTCCTGATCGCCCTGGCGCAGGCACGAAAGTGACGATAGTTACAGGATTCGGATGGCCCGCTCGGGTTAACAACATCATCCGCGAGCCCCATGGTGAGGGGGTTCCCGCCTGAGACTTCCTCGCATTTCACTTACAGACGAGGCTCCCAAACGAGACTTCTTCCATATTCAAGGCTTAGAGGCCGGAAAATGGTGAAGGTTGCAGGATTCCGATGACCCGCTCGGGTTAACAACATCATCTGCGAGCCCCATTGTGAGGGGGCTCCCGCCTGAGACTTCCTCGCATTTCACTCACAGACGAGGCTCCCGAACGAGACTTCTTCCATATTCAAGGCTTAGGGGCCGGAAAATTATGAAAGTTACCGGATTCCGATGACCCGCTCGGGTCAACAACATCATCTGCGAGCCCCATGGTGAGGGGGTTCCCGCCTGAGACTTCCTCGCATTTCACTCACAGACGAGGCTCCCGAGCGAGACTTCTTTCATATTCAAGGGGTAGGGGCCGGAAAATGATGAAGGTTACAGGATTCCGATGACCCGCTCGGGTTAACGACATCATCTGCGAGCCCCATGGTGAGGGGGCTCCCGCCTGAGACTTCCTCGCATTTCACTCACAGACGAGGCTCCCGAGCGAGACTTCTTTCATATTCAAGGCTTAGGGGCCGGAAAATGATGAAGGTTACAGGATTCCGATGACCCGCTCGGGTTAACGACATCATCTGCGAGCCCCATGGTGAGGGGGCTCCCGCCTGAGACTTCGTCGAATTTCACTCACGGACGAGGCTCCCGCACGAGACTTCCTCCAGATTTAATGCTCAGGGGCCCGAAAATGATGCCGGCTACAAGATTCGGATGACCCGCCTGGATAAACAACGTGATATGCGGGCCTTCTGGGGAGGGGGTTCCCGCCTGAGACTTCCCGCCTGTTTCCACTTTACCCACTGGCGAGGGTCTCGCACGAGACTTCCTCCAGATTCAAGGCTCAGGGGCCCGAAAGTGAGGACGGTTACAGGATCTGGATGCCCCGTTCGTATTAACAACATGATCTGCGGGTCCTATAGGGAGGGGGCTCCGCCTGATACTTCCTGGCAATGAACTCACAGACGAGGCGATGATTGTGATTGCAATTAATATGTGGAATTGATGATGGTGATTGCGAGATGGTGGTAATGAGCAGTAGTGTGATCATGATGATGGTGCCGATGATGGATTGAGTGCGTGAGGTATTTATCTTGTGTGGTGATTATGTGAATGATGATGGTGCTGTCAACGATTCCGTAAACGACGATGATGAAGATGATGATGATGATGATGATGATGTTGATAATGATGCTGGTGATGGTGATGATAATGATGATGGTGATGATGATACTGTGAGCGATGATTGGGAGGCTAGTGCTGTCATGATGCTGGTATGTGAGTGATCGAGTGAGTGACTGGCGAATGGAGAAGAGGAGATGGGGAGGAGGAGAAACGCTGCGCAGGGTGTCCAGAGAGAACGAGCATCCACTTAAGGATGTGGGGAACAATTCCGCTCATCAAAACACCCTCCTAGTCGTGTCTGTATGAATCACTTCAAAGATGTGTTCAAAGGAATTCAAAAACTGCTTCTTGCATTCATGCAGAAACTGCTATTTGAATTCACTCAGAATGATGTTGTTCGTATTCGTCCAGACACCGTTATATGCATGGCCGCCCCACCCAACGCGACCTGGATGAGCAGGGGCCAAGCAGACGGAACCTTGGCGCGCCGCTTCGGGGTGACTGGCCCGCCGCCCTCGAGGGAGACTGCGGGGGGACGATGAGCAACCCGCCACGGCTCGATTGGATGCCTCTGCTGGTCTCCTTCACCACCCCGTCCCTCCTCTCCGTCCACCTTCACCAAGCGATCCTCCTCTTCCTCCCCGGAGTTCCACACATCCCTTCTCCCTTCCACCCCCTCACATCCCATCTCATCGCCCTCCTTCTTTCTCGTTCTCCCAAGCCTCCCGCGTGCCTCCTTCTGCTCCTCCTCGTCCTCCTTCTCGCTATCCCTCACCCCCAACCTCCCAGGCGCTGGGCGATGCCGCCCTAGCTCGAGCCTCCTGGACTTGCTGATCAGGTCAGAGACATTAGCGAAAAAATTAGAAGACGTGTACGGGTCCTGGACTCGCCTCCTGGACTCGGTCTCGCTTGTTCGAATGCCTTCCATGATGGTCACAATGTGTCGCAAAGTGCTCGCACATCAGAAGGACCGCCTCATGAGAAGTATGTCCGCCATCGTGCTGCAGACACTGAGTGCAGTGTTCTCAGGTCCCTTCGATTTGTCGGCTTTGCATCGTGCACCTACTCTTGAGCACTCTGGGGAATCCCCACGTGATGTTTCTAGCGGCCTCAGAAGCAAGGCAAGGCTCGGTCGAATCGAATCGGTCCTCAGAAGCGTGGTTGGGATTCCACACGTCCGACATGGTTTTCAACGGCCCCATAACAAGTCCTGGAGACCTTCCGGGCGCATCTTGGAGCCGCCCCAAAGCCAGCGTCACTGGAACAAGCTCAGTCGTTCAATGATTGAATGCTCTCGCCTGTTCGGTCGGAAGAGCGCCCAAGGCGGCGCAGGCGGGCTTTTGTATCCCTCCAAGACGGCCTCCGAACCCTCACGAGGGACCCACGAGGTCCCCAAGACGTCACCAATGGGGCACATTTGTTCTTCACATCGGGCGCTCGAGTGCGGAAACGGTCAGGCGCCGGTCGGGCAAAAGCCTAGGCGCGCCAAAGCAAACTGGGGCACGGAAGAAAAGGAGGAGCGGCGCGGACCAAGGCCCACGAGGTCATGATTTGTTCAGGACGTCGAACCCCAGAGGTGTCAACCTGTTCCCCATGGGCCGGTTTCTCATCCTGAGTTGTTTTTGACGGTCCCGAGGCCCGGTGAGGGCTCCCAGAGGCCGACCATTGCGAAAAACCTCCCGTCATGATTTTTTCATTGCTCGAGGGGGTCTGGGGAGCGAGGATGATCGAGCAGCTCAGATCGTGCAGACCTGCACGGAAGAGTCACGAACTGGCATCCGGAGCCCTTGACGCCTCAAGGTGGCCTCCGGGACCGCCAGAGGCGCCCCCCCGCCCCCCTCAGGCCCCAAGGAGGCCTCCAAGAGGCCCTAAAACGCCTCCACTGGGCCTCCAAAAGGCTCCCTGAGAAGACTCCTAGAGAAACCTCAAGAGGCCCTAAAACGCCTCCACTGGGCCCCCAAGAGGCTCCCTGAGAAGACTCCTAGAGAAACCTCCCAAGACGCGCCTGGCCTGCAGGCCAGGCGCGGCGGCGGGCTGGGCCGAAGGCCGCTGGACGCGTTGCCTTCGCCCGCTTGCACATAGCGATCTTGGGGGAGAGCGGCGCGCTCAAAATCAGCCCCTGTACCTTTGTGGGCCCTGGAAGCGACAGGGCCGGTTTTGTTACCGGTTGCGTTTTGCTGTTTTTGTTGCCGGTTCCGACGCCATTTTTGTTACCGGTTCCGTCGCCGTCTTTTGACTGGTTCCGGCTCCGGTTCCAATCCTGGAGCCTCCTGGAGCCGTTTTTTTGCCGTTTCTGCTCGCCGTTTTTTGCCGTTTCCATTTTCAAGGGACATTTTTTGTTGGAAACGGTGAAAAAACGGCCCTGCCGTTTCCGGGGCCCACAAAGCCCTGTACCCCTCTCAGAGCCCATCCCGGCCCGACTGCCGAGCTGCGCCAAGCCGTGGCGACGAGATCCGCAAGAAGCGCCCAGATAGCGTCCGAAACGACGAGCATGTCGTCGTCCTGGAAGATTGGCCTGCCCGAGGTCGGTGCTCGAGGTGTCAAACACTGCATACAGATAATTGTTTGGAGGTCCGCACACATTTCTTGGACCGGCGCTGGACCCCCCTCCCTGACGCGCAGAGCGCGCAAGTGGCAGTGCCAGAGGCGCCGCCAGGGGCTCCAGCGAAGATGCCAGAAATCCACGCAGACCTCCACAAAATCATGTTTTATGCCATTGCATGTTCCTGGAGGTGCTGGAGGGCCGTCAACACGAGCATCGTTTAGCAGGCCCCTATTCCCATGGGCGTGGACTGGGCCCCGCTGGCCGATTCACCTCCCCCTAGATGGGTATGTTTGTGTGTGTATAGATATATATATATATATATATATATGTGTGTGTGTGTGTGTGTATGCAGTGTCCTTTGGGTTTCGAAGGGTATATCCCCAACTGGGGTGGTAAAATGGTGGGGGCCTGGATGGGAAATCTGGAACACTGAGATAAGGACCCCTTAGATAAGAAATCCAGGGTCATCAAGCCAGTGGAACGCCAACCGTTGGGGACCTGGAAATTGGCACCAACACCAGAACAGGGGGTTGCCTCCACGTGGGAAAGATGATCCTCGATTTCGGTGTTGGTGGTAATATTTCGATCACCTTGGAAGCCAGAATATTACCACCAACACCGAGATCGGGATCTTCTTCCCTCGGTGGAGGCACACCGCCGATATTGGTGTTGGTGTCAACCTCTAGGCCTACGAAACCGTGGATGGGCCATTGATATCGCTGGAGTCATCATCAGCTGTGGAAGATCCAGGGTCTCAAGATTCCTGAGCACATTCCTTGACCAACTGGGCAGACCAAAAGGTACGGATGCCGCTGCTCCCCGGACCTCTCCCAGGGTGCGTTCTAACCCGGATTTCGATGCGAATACAACGGTGGCGACGAGGGCCTCCCAGGAGGCCCAAACAGGGGGAAAACAGACACAGGTAGCAGTATCGGTACCTTTGCCGCCTCTGGCCCACGCCCCCACCGCGAGCGCCTGCGAGGAACCTCAGCACGCGGCGCGCGTGGTCGCCACAGGCCGGGCCCCAAGGGGAGGCGCCGCTCCACGGCCGCCCTGGGCGGCGAGAGCGGGCTCGAGGGCCGAGGGCCCGAGCTTGCTCCAGGCCTCCCCGCGCGCCCGCCCTCGAGGCCGGGCTTTGGGACGGAGACGACGCCGCACATGCTGCCCTTGAGCACCAGCAGCGTTCCAGAACTCTCTGAGAGCGTTCTGGCACGCTCTGAAACAGAACAGATTTGTCCTTGTCCTGGCCCGGCCTGGCCTCACCCGACCATGCGAAGCCACGTACAGGGGGCCACATGCGAACCTCACCCCTGCCCCCCACGATTTCTGAGGGGGAGGGAAGTGAACCCCACCTTCCCCCTCAGAAATCGTGGGGGGTAGGGGTAGGCTTCGCATGTGGTCCCCGAACGCAGTGCGGGCGGCCAGTGCAGGCCAGAACGGGCGCAGCACTTGTGGTCGCGGGGGCATGGGGCAAGACGCAGTCGGACAAGAATGACAAATCGACTTTCGGCCAAGACGCAGTCGGCAAGACGCAGTCGGCCAAGACGCAGTCGGCCAAGACGCAGTCGGCCAAGACGCAGTCGGCCAAGGAAACCAAAAGGCACCGATACCGCTACTCCCGGGACCTCTCCCGGGGTGCGTTCTGACCAGGATTTCGAGGCGACTCCAGCGGTGGCGACGAGGGCCTCCCAGGAGGGCCAAATATGGGAAAACGAGGGAATGGTAGAGGTATGGGTACTTTTCCTCCTCTGAGACTTAACGAACTGCACCCAGCCGATACTGGCGCAGCACCCAGACTCACGGGATGATCCTCGCTCCAGGAGACGCTGGGGCGGTGCTCGGGGCGTTGAAGGCACCTCTGGCCACGGGCGCCTTGAGCCACACCCAGCAGTGCCGGTGGTGGCCCAGGCGTAGCCTAGTCGCGTGCTCCCCATGAACTCAGCCCTGTCACCTACACCTCGTACCGCGACCTGCAGCCAGCAAGGCGATTTGAGAGTGTGTCTGTTGCCGGGTAGAGGGAGGTATCCCGCGGCGCTCTTTTTCAGTAGATCGTGCCGTGATTCGTGGTGCCCATGGAATGGACACTGAACGAGCAGAGCAGCGAACCACTAGCATTGCTAGAGCTACTGATGCCGGTAGTGCTGCCATACCGCTGTGAAATTTACCCATCACATAGATCCGATTACTTCCTACGTGCTGCTCGATATTTGCTACTTGGAACATACTCGTTCTTCGAGGCAGCGGGGGGGTTCTGAACTGGTTGAACCCCAGCAGAATCCGATGAAGCAGATCCACACAAAATCGGTCCCCAGACCCCACCCCTGGTCGACCTGGTGCAGTTTTTCAGGACGGATCCGTTTTCAACTGTCCTGGGCCCTCAAAAACAGCTCCCAGAGGCAGAATAAGGCCAACCGAACGCAGAGCCCGTCGAACATGCGCCCCCTTGGTGATCGCCGGAACCAGTGCTGGGCCACCTCAGACCCCCAGGCGGCTCTAACATCTGATTACTTCCTACGTGATGCTCGATACTTGGATCGCCGCAGTGGTTGCTAAGGGATTGGGGGGGTTCGAAGTGGATGCCAAAGCGGGTCTCATCCAGCCTAAACCAGCTTAGAAGTGGGCTGCACATGCCCTAAGTGGCTTTTGGGCACATAGATCTGGGCGAAGTGGGCGGATCCCACTCAGCGGAGTTACCTCATCACCCTAAGCCACATAGGGCACTCGTGACCAACGTATAGGGTGGGTTAGGCCTGACAAAAGCCTCTTACCCCCCCCCATCCCCTTAGCAACCAACGCGGCGATCCAAATACCGAGACCCCCGACGTCATGATATTTTCATGACGCTATCCCCAGAGGGCCGGACCCATTGCCCAGGACAAGTTCTTCATCCTGAATCGTTTTCCCACACATCCTGTGGTGTTAGGTCCTCGTTTTGAAGAGACAGCGCCCTGCGTTACTCACTCCTCCTCCTCCCACCCCTCCCTCCATCATCATCATAAACAGCATCATTATCGTCATCTTCATCACCAACATCCTCACCATCATCATCCTCATCACAACCGCACCCATCACCACCATCGTCATCATCAGTGCCGTCGTCTTAACCATCACCCTTCACACGTTTCGTGGCCCCATACAGAGCTCCACCGAAGGCCCCAGTGCTACTGCCCACATGCGTCACGCACACCCATTTCGGCACATCCCTCACACGTTTCGTGGACCCACAGGGAGCTCCACCGAAGGCCCCAGGGCCATCGCCCGCATGCGCCACGCACACCCATTTCGGCACACCACTCACACGTTTCGTGGCCCCATCATAGGCAGCTCCACCGAAGGCCCCAGTGCCACCGCCCACATGCGTCACGCACACCCATTTCGGCACACCCCTCACACGTTTCGTGGACCCACAGGGAGCTCCACCGAAGGCACCAGTGCCACCGCCCGCATGCGTCACGCACACCCATTTCGGCACACCCCTCACACGTTACGCGGCCCCACAGGGAGCTCCACCGAAGGCCCCAGTGCCACCGCCCACATGCGTCACGCACACCCATTTCGGCACACCCGTCACACGTTACGCGGCCCCACAGGGAGCTCCACCGAAGGCCCCAGTGCCACCGCCCGCATGCGTCACGCACACCAATTTCGGCACACCCCTCAAACGTTTCACAGCCCCACAGGGAGCTCCACCGAAGGCCCCAGTGCCACCGCCCGCGTGCGTCACGCGCACCCATTTCGGCACACCCGTCACACGTTACGCGGCCCCGTAGGGAGCTCCACCGAAGGCCCCAGTGCCACTGCCCGCATGCGTCACGCACACCCATTTCGGCACACCCCTCTGTCGTTTCGTGGCCCCATAGGGAGGTCCACCGATGGCCCCAGTGCCACCGCCCACATGCGTCACGCACACCCATGTCGGCACACCCCTCACACGTTTCTCGGCTCCACAGGGAGCTCCACCGAAGGCCCAAATGCCACCGCCCGAATGCAGCACGCACACCCATTTCGACACACCCCTCAAACGTTTCGCGGCCCCACAGGGAGCTCCACCGAAGGCCCCAGTGCCACCGCCCACATGCGTCACGCACACCCATTTCGGTACAACCCTCATACGTTTCGTGGCCCCACACGGAGCTCCACCGAAGGCCCCAGTGCCACCGCCCGCATGCAACACGCACAGACATTTCGGCACACCGTCAAACGTTTCACGGCCCCACAGGGAGCTCCACCGAGGGCCCCAGTGCCACCGCCCGCGTGCGTCACGCGCACCCATTTCGGCACACCCCTCAAACGTAACGTGGCCCCATAGGGAGCTCCACCGAAGGCCCCAGTGCCACCGCCCGCGTGCGTCAAGCGCACCCATTTCGGCACACCCCTGACACGTTTCGCGGCCCCACGAGGAGCTCCACCGAAGGCCCTAGTGCCACCGCCCGCATGCAACACGCACACCCATTTCGGCACACCCCTCACACGTTTCGTGGACCCACAGGGAGCTCCACCGAAGGCCCTAGTGCCGCCGCCCGCATGCGTCACGCACACCCATTGCGGCACACCCCTCAAACGTTTCACGGCCCCACAGGGAGCTCCACCGAAGGCTTCAGTGCCACCGCCCGCATGCGTCACGCACAGACATGTCGGCACACTCCCCTCACATTTCGTTGCATCGTAGGGAGCTCCACCGAAGGCCCCAGTGCCACCGCCCGCATACGTCACGCATACCCATTCTGGCACACCCCCCTCACACGTTTCGTGGCCCCACACGGAGCCCCACTGAAGGCCCCAGTACCACCGCCCGCATGCGTCACGCACACCCATGTCGGCACACCCCTCACACGTTTCGTGGCCCCACAGGGAGCTCCACCGAAGGCCCCAATGCCACCGCCCGCATGCGTCACGCATTCCCATTCCGGCACACCTCTCACACGTTTCGTGGCCCCACAGGGAGCTCCACCGAAGGCGCCAGTGGTTGCGTTCGCCTGCGCCCACCGCAACCATTTCGGCACACCCATCCCACTTTTCGCGGCACCATCGGGAGCTCCACCGACGGCCCCAATGGCTGCGTTCGCATGCGCTCACCGCACCTATTTCGTCCCACCTCTCACGCGTTTCATGGCCCCGACGGCCCCAGTTGCTGCTTTCGCATGCGCCCACTGGACAAATTCTGGCACACCCCTCGCACGTTTCGTGGCGCTATGGTGAGCTCCTCCGAATGCGGTGCATACAACGACGGCGCTCAGAAATCATGACAAACCTCCCGTCGTGATAACTCGAGGGTGTGTGTGTGTGTGAGTGTGTGTGTGTGTACGCATGGGACTGATGATGATGGTGTGAGTGATTGAGTGAATGAGTGAGTATGCGACGGGAGAAGAGGAGAGGGGTGAGGCGTGAGGTTCCTGCGCGGGGGGGGCGGCGCAGATAAGACAAGCACCCCACTTTGGATGTGGGGGACAACCTCCCGTCGGGATAGCTCAAAAGGGTCTGGGCACAGGAGTGTTGCTTTGCCTATACGGGTAAAACGTGACGCCGAACAGGGCGCGGGCGAGCATGCCCTGGCAAACCTGCCACACCTCATAGCTTCCCTTAGCAAGGCAACGGGCACACGTGCACAAAGAGGAAGCAGGCACAAGCTGAATCCGTCCTCCGAACTGCTACTGGGCACAGGAGGAGGAGGAGGAGGAGGAGGAGAAATTGGAGGAGGAGGAGGAAGAGGAATTGGAGGAGGCCGTCCTCACACTCACGACCCGCACCTGCGGGGCTGGTCCGCGGCCGGGCCGAGGCCCCCGCGGGGTCCGGCGCCCGCTCTGGCTCGGGGGCCTCCTCGCCCCCGGACTGCTCGGGCTCGGGCTCCTGCTCGCCGTCGTAGGCGACCTCCCGCGCTCGCGGCAGGCTCGCGGCGACCTCCGCGTGCTCCCAGGCCCCCTCGAGTTCTGACAAAAATCACGCCGGGAGGTTTTTCATGGTTTTCGGCCTCTGGGGGCCTTTCCCGGCCCTCGGGACCGTCAACAAACGACTCGGGATGAAAAACCGATCCCACGGAATGGGCCTGGACCTCTGGGGGTCGCGCCATGACAAAATCATGACGTCGGGGGTCTGGGGGCTGCTGACGTTGCGTGGATCGTTCAACCTTGCACGATCCAGCCACAGCAGAAGAACAGAAAACAGCATAACCCCAACCTTTCGGAACTCCGCGCGGACTTCTTGGGTGGGCGCTGAGTCCCCCTGGCGGCGCCTCCGGCGCCGCCCCTGGTGCGCTTCGCACGCCATGATAGGGGAGCCAGCGCCGATCAAAGAAACCCGCGAGTAATTCCGACAATGTATGTTTATCCCGTTTTCTCTCATTCGTGTTCTTCTTTCTTTCTTCTACACTGGTGACGCTCAATCTTGAACGCCCGCGCTGGGGCCGTCGCCACATCTGCACGACGCGGCCCTACCGTAGTCTCTCCGCGGAGGCGTCAAAATCGGTTGGCATCAAACCGGGAAATCGGGTCGAAAAGGGCTGTGCGTCCGACACGGCCGTTTTTGTCACCGTTTCCGACAACATGTCTCTTGACAATGGGCACATTGAAAAAAAAAACAACCAACAACTACAACAAAAATTGCTCGAAAATTGCAACCGGAACCGGAACTGGCAAAAATTGGCGACAGAGCTGGGAAACAAATGGCGCTGGAACCGGCAACACAAACGGCAAAGCGGAACCGGTACCAAAACGGCCCTGTCGTTTCCATAGCCAGTGCAAGCATAGAAGGCCGCACCGCACCGTCGGGCAGTCCGAGTCGGCACGGATCGAGCCGGGTGACCTTGGCATCGAATCGAAACGTTCGAGTAAACATGGACAGTGAGGGGTTGGAAGGCTTGGCAGGTGAGGGAGCACCTGCTTCCTTCGTGGGCGAAATACGACGGCGTATCCGCGGCCTGGCGGGCCGGACCATTCGGTCGCGACCCTGCGGTTAGGGGGGCATTTTTTCGTGGATGCCCCGCGCGGACCGTATCCGCGCGACCGCGTATCAGCTGGATCGCGCCCCGGACTCCTTCTCCTCTGATTTGGACGCCCGAAATTTGTAAGGAAAAAACGGGTACAATGACCAACAACAATGTTGTCCCAAACCAACAGCGGCCGCCGGCCGCTGTTGGGCAGGCGGCCTCCTGTCTCGAATGGACACAGGCCGCGGCGGCGTGGACAGCGAGTCCTGTTCAAAATGAACAGGAACTGCTGTTGGGCATTGTACCCATTCTTTCCGTACCCATTTCGGGCGTCCAGATCTGACGTCCGGCGCCTCGACAAAACCGGGGTTGCCGGCTCGTCTCGTCTCAGTGTTCTGGCCCTCTGCAGGCCAGCTTCGGGGCCTCAGGAACATCCCAAGCCCGACCCAGGATGAGAAAAAACGGCCCTGGGGGAAGGGTCGAGAGGAGGGGTTCGGGAGCCACGCATCGAACAAAAACGAGGCGGCGGATGTCTGCGCTGTCGCTAGAACGCTCACGGCGGGAGATTGCTGCATCAATTCCTTTCAGACGGCCTGTTTGCTGCAGCAAGAGCCAACCGATAGAGCTGCAGGAAGGGTACCAGAAGCTGCCAGGGTGAAGCGCTCCCTGCCTGTGTGGCAACTGTACCTCACTCTCTCAGAACAAAGCATTGGACATATGAGCGGAACCGACGCACTACGCTTGCCCGGGCGAAACACGGAGTGGGTTGTCGCCAGACGCCCCCGCAGCTCGGGTTAAGCATGCCGGCTCCACAGAAGATCATCACAAAAGTGTGTATCCCACTCTTTCGCGTGCGCCTCAGTAAACACTGCATCTGATGGCGCGGTGTTCGAAAATGACCTCCCGCTCGCTGAACTGAGCCGTTGACCTGACATATGCTTCACACCCGCGCCCGGCTGTGGCAACGAGGACGCCCTGGAGTCCACTTACAGAGACGGGCAGGCCAGGAGGCAAGCAGCAAGCAGGGAAGAAAACACTTTTTTGATCCGCGGGTCGAGAGCGAGCCTCTTCCCGTCGAAGCTAAGCGGGCCGCGCACAGCTTTAATTAGCAGAGGGGGGGGCAAAAGAAGGCGGGGCCGCAGGTCAAGGACATGAGAGGGCTAAGCCACGGGATCAGGCGGTGCCGAAGGCGAAGTGCATGCAAAGGAACGCCTTGAACAGGAACCCGGAGGTGAAAGGGAAGAAAACACAAGCGGCCCCGTTGAAACTGATCCGTGGCCTTTGCGGGCCGTGGTGTGGCGCAGTCGCCGCGTGATCGACACTGTCGTTCGTGTGCTGGCAGCAAAGTCCGTGTGCCCGAAGCCCGATGGTTGTGGCGAGGGGGAGGATGGAGAGGCAAGAGAGGGGAGATGAGGGATGACAGGAGGAGGCGAAGGAGGCACACATAATCACAA